ACAACAAATTGATATGGCTTATCTCTGATAACAGCTCCTTTCCTTGAAACATTCCAAGCCTTTAGACAAAGCTTCATGTCTTTAACCAATTACAAGCTAAAGAATCTTTAAACCCATCTATAACCTGTAAACTGCTTCCCACCCTTGGAGATGGTCCACCTTTTTGGGCCAAACCAATGTATGCCTCCCATGTATTGATTTATGACTTTATCTGTAACCCCCGTTTCACTGAAATGTATAAAACCAAACTGTAACCCAGCCACAGCGAGTCCACTTGCTCAAGTCTTCTTGGGAGTGGCTCTAGGTCATGGTCTTCAAATTTGGCTCAGAATAAATCTTTTTAAAATTATTTTACAGAGTTTGGCTTTTTTCCATTGACAAGGTATTGCCTATAAAATCACCGGGAACACTGAGTTAGTGAATACTGAACCATTGCTCCTAGGGTAAACACAGGGTTATATTCCTGTGAGCCTCTGATCACAACATTTCCATTAGCCAATCAATGCATAACCTTCTTTTATAAGTGTACTTCTGTTTAAAGATACTTTATTTAACATATATTCGTGATTCATTAGCATTGAACTCATGGCCAAAAGCACTGTGATTCATGCCTGAATGAAACTTATCTAATACATATTAACATTTTCTGCATAAGGCACTTCTCCTCCGCCTTGCGCTTAGGGGACGCTAGACAGCACTTAAGCACCACATTTGGGGACCATTTTAAATAAATGAAATTCCCAACAAAAAACAGAATAATGCAAAAAATGTGGTACTAAATAGATGTGAAAAAGGACGCTTGTTTACAGGATCTGAGCTGAAACAAGAAGGCAGAGCATCTCCTTGTTCAACCTCAGCTGGAAACACAAGAAGGCAGAGCATCTCCTTGTTCAACCTCAGCTGGAAACGCATCATCAAGAGACTCAATATTTTTGCTGCTCTGCACATGTGTACAAATGAGCAAGAAATCACCTCGAGTATTGACTTTGCTTACAAATAAATGTTAGTGATGTCAACCGAAGAATGACAAGGTTCATAAATTTGGAAAGAGAGCTTAATTTCTTATAAAGCGTTGCAGCCTGCTGGCTGGCCACCTCGCAGGCTGGGAAGCAATAGCCTTGGGCAGAAGCCAAGAGGGAGCACTTCAAGGGAACTGAAAGGGAAACAGGAATCTATGCTGAGCAGGTGGTCAAATGTACTTCTTTAACAAGCTATAGGAGGAGCCATGAATATTTATGACAGGAGACACATGTGCATGCGCAGTTGAGCTTCATGCCTCTTCATGGATCCATGCTCAGAAATGGTGGTGTTGGCATGGTCTGAGGGTGGAGTTTTTGGCCCTCTGACATCCAAAGGTGAAGCAGAGGACATGAAGGCCCTCTGTGTGCAGTCTCCCTGGACTGGGCAGAACCACTCCAAGGGCTCTTATCAGGAATGAATGCTGATCAGTTGTGTCTAAACCCCAAAAAGAGAGGACAGCCTTAGGCAATCGATTGAAATTAGCAGTGGAGCAAGTCTGTACAAAAGGCTGGTTCTGTGTAACCCTTAGGGAAGAAAGCCTAATGGTGGTGTGAACTAAAATAAAATCTTAAGCCCCCCACCTGTCAGACATACCTCAGCATGCCCCTGTAAGGTTGGGCCCCCTCCGTTACCTAGATCAAAAAAGAAAAGGCTCACGAGACCAGACCCACCAAGGACAAAACTGCCAGGCCCCACTGAGAGGAACCACACCCAGATGTCCACCAGGATGAGAACGTTTTTGCCTCCTGGATTCCACAAATAGCTCTAGCCCCTCCTATTTCTCAATGACCACCCAAGGTCACAATGGAAAATCCCCAGCTCTTCCCGCCAAAAGTCCCTAGCCAGGCCCAAAGGGTATAAGAAGCCTAAGCCCCTTCAAACGGAGGCGACTTCTGGGCCCCCCCCTCTCTTGGGGCCCCAGAACCTCATCCAGGAGTGTATAATAAAGCCACGTGGTTTGGCCCCCACTCTTTCTCTCTCTTTGTCTGCCTTTTCTTTTCCCCACTGCTGAAAAACCTTACAGCCCCACCCCCAACTTGGAGCTATCTTTTGTAATTCATTAACAGACCTAGGGCTTTACAGGGTGGGGCTTGAACCACACCTGCAGGTCCTCAATTTACCCAACAGACCTCGTGAGTCTAAGAGTATGTCCTGTGACTTGTCTCTGCTTAGCAGACTTCCTTATCTTAACTTAAAACATTCCAAGCCTTTAGACAAAGCCTTCTTTCTTTAACCAATTACAAATCAAAGAATCTTTAAACTCACGGATAAGGTATAATCCTCACTTTGAGATGTCCCATCTTTTCAGGCCAAACCAATGTACTCCTTCTGCGTATTGATTTATGGCTTTACATGCAATTCCTGCCTCCCTGAAGTGTATAAAACCAAACTGTAACCCAACCCCAGGGAGACCACTTGTTCAAGGCTTCTTGGTTGTGGCTCCAGGCCACGATCACTCATACATAGCTCAGAATAAACCTCTTTAAATTATTTTACAGAGTTTGGGTTCTTTTCTGTTGACACCAGCCAGCACGGAGAGGGATATAATGAGGCGTGTCTGACCTCCCATCCCATCTCATCTTGACTGGGAACCAAGTTTTAAGGTTCCTCTGGGGTTGCCTCGGCCAAGAGGGGATCCATTCAGTCGGTTTGGGGGCTTAGGTTATTATCTTTATTTCTCAGTGAGCAGGCAAATTCACAAATGCAAAAATCTGTAAATAATGATCCATTGTATCTTCTGGCACTCACCCGCCTTCCAAGCTCTCCCTTGCATTGCAGCTGTTAGGAGCCTAAAAAATACATGTCTCAGGTCCCCATTTTCAGTTGGATTCTTATTTAAATTCTGCCAGTGACAGGAACTTAGATCAGGAAGGTGGGAGAGAAAGAAGAGCAATTATGGTCCTTGAACATGGGTGGGCGGGCGCCCGGGTTTCAGCAGAAGGCTGTGCCTATTCTGCATTGCTTTCCAGGCATTCTCTTGTGTATCACCAACTGCCTGGCTTCCTGGGCTCAATGACGATTTCCTCTGATGTTTGCATTCCCCAGCTTTGCCAAAAGTCCTAAGAGTGCCTAATTCTCTGCTGTAAATCCCCTCCCGATAAGAAGATCTAGAGTAGTTTCTATGCCTCTGGCTAAAAGTCACAGCGGCAAACCTATATCCAACAGTATCACTTACACTGATGCTTTACTGATTTGTTTCAAAATAATACATTTAGGGACCAATGTTCCAACTGATCATCTAATGAACAAATTGTCTTCTCAGCATCCCAATTTGTATCACCCGGATGGCCATGTTCTGAAAAGTATGTCAAATGATTTGTGTTATTACATATTCGGAGAGAACTAACATTTGTATGTTGCTTATTAAGTTCTGGGCATGACGTTAGGTGCTGGAGAAAAATGATCTGATATGGTCCTTCCCATAGCTCAGTGGGGAAGGCAATATTAGCTTGTACAAAATGAGCCTCATAGAAGTTTAATTCCTTGACCAGGGTCATGAAAATGGTAAATGGTGGAACAGTAATTCAATATAAAGTTTCCCACAACAACCCCGCTATTGCCTCCTACGGCTGAATCCTTCCAGAATAATTTTCATATCTCCTCATTCCCTCCCACCACCTCAATCTTTCATTAGCCTTTGACGATTGGCAGGGGATGGGGGAGAAGCTTGAATGAAGTCAGGTTTTGATCGTAGGAAGGAATATATTGTGTATTTTACATTTTATTTGATGCTAGCAATTAACGACAGTTGACTCATTTTCTCAATCACTGATGCAATTATGAAATCAACGTGCACTGCAGACAGCCGCCCTGGCTTGCACATCCCACCTAGAGCAGTCGGAAAAAGATTGCCCCCTCTTCTAACTTCCAAAGTGCAGGTGGTGCCGGAGTACCTCTCCACTGCGTGAGCCATTAAAAGGTGCACAATTTGAAACATTTCTCCACGCGGTTTCCAGCCTCTGCAGGCTCTGAGGCTGCGCCAGTGCACGGCTCTTATTCACCATCTCATTTAAGCCTTAACAGTCTGAGCAATTTTATGGGCCGAATGCCACATATTCATTCGACAAACCTTTACGAGCATCCGCTATGTGTCAGGCACAATGTTAATAACTAGATGTGTTCTTAAGTGGGGAAAGAGCGCTTTTTCATGAATAGGCTCAAACACCTCCTCTATGCCATCTGATGTGAATGTTTATGGGCCTCAGAATCTTTTATGGGAGGGATGGTGAACATGTCTTAAGCTCATGCCTCCCCTCTTAAAATGCATGAGAAGGCAAGTGTCATGGGCTGACACTTTTGTCATGGGCTGACACATTTGTGTGCCCCTGAAACCGATGTGCTGAACCTTGACCGGAACACTGGTGTATTTGAAGATGGAGCCATTGAGGAAGTCATTAAGGTTAAGTGAGGTCATAGGGTGGGTCCCTGATCCGATAGGATTAGTGTTCTTTTAAGAAGAGACACCTGAGAGTTTATTCTCCTCCACTCCCTCTCCCCCTCCTCCTCCCCCTGTAGGTGCAGAATTTCTCACCATTGGACAGCACCCAAGTTCGAGTGAGAACCACAGCAAAGATTTCCACAGAGGCAATTTGCCTGGTGCTTAAGAGCTCAGAGTTTGGGATCAGACAAGTGCAGGTTGAAATCCCAAGTCTATCTCATTCATATTAGCTGTGTGACCCTGGGCAAATTGCTTACCTTCCCTGAGTTTCAATGTCCTTAGCTGTTACATGGAGATTATAATATTCATGGGGTAAATTGTGACAATTAAAAATGAGATATGAGATGGACAATGCTACCCTCAGAACTCAACACTTGCAGGCGTTGTTCTTGCTAGTCCAAGTGCACCGTGGAGTAGGCAGCAAGAGTCATTTTGCTCAGATGACAAATCTGGAGACCAAAAGTAAGGGACTTGCCTGAGAGCCCTACACAGTCAAGGGTGAACGTGATGTGTTTAGGCATTTAGGAATAAGATTTCCCACCTGGCTGGCTTCCTTGGACAAGTCAATTTGTGACCTTTCATTTCTGAAAGGTAAACAGCACAGGAGGTCATGAACTTGTCAACATGCTCATGTGTGTAGAAATGCTCATTGGCACCAGAGCATGCAATTCAGGATTTCTGCAGGATGTTCAAGAATAAGAAAAAAAAAAAAAGCTATTAAAACTGCTTTATATCTGCATAGTCTGTGTTCCCTGGAAGAATATTTGACTCTCAGAATTAATTACTCTTGTATTTGATGTTTGCATTAATATTTATCCCACGCCTACTTCATATCAGATGATATTTCATGTCATATGGCATGTTTTGAATGAGTGTTGGGGGAGGCATGGGAAGGGGGTGGGTGAATGGAATGGTGGGTTGGGTTGGTGGTTAGGTGGGTAAACAGATAAGTTTCTAGCCGAGGCCACAAAGCAGGTGGCTCTGCTACTTGGTGACTTGCAATACACGGAGGTAAAATGACAGAATCGCCGAATGTCAAACTCTAGACACTTAGGATAGGGCAAGAACACTGGATAAGAATTAGAAGACCTAGATTTTGATCCATGGATTACTACCTATTAACTAACCCATGTGGCCCCCAGAATATCATCATTTGGCTTCTTTATGCCTCAGTTTTATAGACAAGGATATCTATGCAATGGGACGAATGCCGTGTGCTTAGCCTGTCTCACAGGTTTATATTGAGAACCAAATGCAATTCTGTGTCTGGTCACTTTGTTAACTGTGGCTTTTCCTCCCCTAACTCCTGTGCTTTCACCATTCTCCCCCCACCCCCACCTCCTGACCCCTCAAAGACAGCAAGACCACTTTTCCATCAGAGCACTTGGTGTGGATCGTGACTTTATATTGATTTACACAGCATTTATTCAAGGTCTGACTTTACTCCTAGGTAAGTTCTCTGAAGGCAAGTACACTGTCTCTTGTTTAGTATGTGTGCAAATACCATCTGCTATGCAGTGCCGTTCTCCTTTCTTCCTTACCAACAGAAGCCTGATGGAGCGTGACAGATCAAGGCCAATGATGACAGCCCTGTCCCCCACCCAGGCTCTCTTACACCTCATGAATGACCAGTAACTTTGTCCTGACCAATGAGATATAAGAGGGAATTTTCTGGGAGTGAGTGTGTGGAAAGAAAGTTTATGTTTTCTTGATATAAATATCCTAACCCAGCTGACTCCGCCTTTCCTTCTTCCTGCCTTTAAGTGGAAGCTATGGCTGGAGCTGCAGCAGCCACTTTGAGATCATTGGGAAGAGTCCCAGAGCCTACAAGAGATATCATCCCAAGAATCATAGAGCTGTTAACTAATACCAGTAATTGCCTGACTCTAGGCTTTTTGATATATAAGAAAAAAAAAGAGCATTATTTTTTTTAAGCCATCCTGGTTAGGCTTGTTGTTACTTGAAGTCAAATACAGTCCTAATGGGCATACAATAGCTTCAGCCCCAGTACCAGACAGTGCCTGGTCAATAGTAGGTGCTCAGAAATGCTTGTTAAGTGAATGACTAGGTAAATGTAAAGTGAATGAATGAGTCATCAGTCTTTCTACCCTCTGTAGCACTTGACTCAGAACCGGACTTCTAGTAGGTACATGATAAATATTTTTTAAATTAATTTGAAGAACCAACAGTCATCCTTTAGCACATTGAAAAGAGGGGCCAGAAATACTTCCCTGAAAAACTCGACTGCCTGTTTAAAGAACAAAACAAAAACTGCCAGATATCTGAGTTGAGGGAAATAAGAAATTGAGCACATCTAGTACCCCAAAGCAGTGCTCCAATTTAGAAAGCTTAAAATAATACGACTCATCACTCATGTCTCCTAGCAAAGTATAAATTAGCGGCTTAGAAAATTCCTCCAAGCTCGAGGGTGACACAGACATTAGCCTCAATAGGAAAAGCCCTCGTGGGCTGCTAGGCCGGCTTCCCAGGGAGGGTTTGCCCAGGCTTGACAAAGCCCAGAAAATCACAGGGTGCCTAATTTAAAACAATCACTTGGAAAGGTCAGATAAAATAGAAATGCTCAGTGGAGAGAAGTGTTCCCAGCGCTGACCCAGACAGCTCCCTGGCAGCGCCCCCAGCTGCCAGCAGAAAGCACGAAACTTCCCCAAACGAGAGGGGGGCGTCACCTTCTTTTTTTTTTTTTTCATTTTTTTAGATTATGGGGGTACAAATATTGTTAGGGTTACATATATTGCCCCTGCCATTCATCCCCACGCCCCACCCCCCGCCTTACCAAAACATCAAGCATGTCCTACTCTCAGGTGGTGCTCATCGCCCTATTTTGTAAGTGTAAATGCTTCCCTTCCTTCCCCCTCCCATTTGCCCACCACCCGATAAAAGTTTGTTTGTTTGTTTGTTTGTTTGTTTCTCCCTGTCTTCATCATTCCTCACCTTCGGCAGGAAGGAATCAGGCCTGCTAAGTCCTTCGTGACAGCTATGCAGATGGCCTGGCCTTCCCCCCAGGGAAGCGTCATCTCTGGTCCGCTTTGTCCTCCAGCAAGCAATGGGGATGGGGAAAACACAGGCAGATTACTGAACATGAATTATTAATCCCTATTAGCATATGAAAATGCTTTCAGTGACAAGCATTGCCGAAATATTGCTCGTGGCAGCTAGACCCATGTGCATGGAAACGAAACATATGTTCGAATATAACAGCAACGATTATGGAGTGGCCACTCCGCCCCAAACACAGAATGCAATAATGGAGGTATAGAGACATCAGAACACAATTGGAAAGGCACAAGATTTCGAGTCAGACAAGCAAGATTCTGATGCCAGCTAAACCGTTTGTTAACTAGTACCTTCCACGAGCCTCAGTTTTCTCATCTATAAAGTAGGTTTAATGATATTTAAGCCCAAAGCTACATGTGGCCATTAAGTAAAATAATGTAGATAAAATGCTTTGCAGAGTGCCTAACTACTTGCATGCATGATAAATACACATGCATGATGAATACACATGCGTGTGCACACTTCTGCTTATTCAGACACTGTTCTTTATGATGCTCCACAGAAGAGGAACCTGAGGCTTGGGGTGCAAACAGGCAAGGGACAGAGCTTGCACCCCTTCCCCAGCCCTGACTGCTCTCAAGAGGTTGGAGTTGAGCAGACAGCCATGCAGAGAAAACGTCTTCGCGATTCAGCACCACTGCTCTGTGAAGCAATAGAAGATCGGTCTCTCTCCAGCTTTACCACTCTCCCTCCTTGTCCCTGGCCTGAGCCTTTAGTTCTGGCTCTGACACCTGAGACCAAAAATTGCTCAGCTCATTCGAGGATCCTCAGGGCTAAGGAGCTGGCTGAGCCAGATCAAGTGGAAATTAAAAAGTGCCCCGGAGACTGCAGACCCGAGCTTCATTAAGACCTAATGAAAATCTGCCAGGAGGCCGAGCACAGGTGTTCATGAGGTTTTTTTTTTTTTTCTTCTTCCTTTGTGGCCGCCTTTTATATGATTCTATGTCTGGAAAGTCAATAGTGAACTTAACCAGAGGCAGAGGCAGAGGCCAGCAGACCGGGGCGCATGCAGCCATATCTTGCAAACCCAAAGTGGGGCTGTGGTCTCATCCCTGTGTCTGATGCCAGGAAGGTCCTTAAAGAGGTAAGGCACAGGTAAGGGGGACAAAGGTCACCTCTGAAATGGGAGGGGAGTCGTTATCACATATCAAACAGTAGGATTAGCAGCTCAGGCTGCAGATAGGGAGATAAATGGGGGAAAGGAGAGAGGCGGGTGGTAGAAAAATCTAACATTTCTTAGACTCTAAGTTCATAACTAGTGGTCCTTCCACCTCCACCCAACAGCTACCTGCATCCCACCAAGAGACCCCTGAGCATCTTGGATATCTTCAGACTGAGGGATTTACCACAGCAGACGTTTGTAGGGTTTTTGGCTAGTGGTGTCCGTTTCACCTTTGACAGTGGCATTCTGATTTTCCTTTGGGCGACGACTTCTCTCTCACAAATACAGTCTGGAATAGCCAAGGAGCACAGCCATGGCACATGAGTGGGATTGATCAGATGCTCCTCACTAGAACATGGATCTTGAGCCATGACAACGAGCATGAAGATGGCAGATGCTCACTCATTCTAGCAGCTGTGCTCTGGTGGGACTACCCAAATGCACGCTCCCTTGACCCTTGAGTCCCTGTTCCCTTTGGCCACCTTTCTCAGCCACTTCTTGGAGCTGCCCTTTTCCAAGTCATCTTAAACAATAGCTAATGCAGCTAATCACATTGTTGCCTGAGGTCACCTGGAATCACTGTGGATTAGTCAGGCCACTGCTAACAGGGACAGTATAAAGCAAAGAGAAAATTCCATGACAGTAGGAGGCGGTGGCGACAGTGGACAGGGGCTCGGAAGGAGCAAGACCAGGATGTTGATGACAAAGCAGTTTGGTGAATTATGTAAGATAGAACTTTTATACTGGACCAGAGTATGAGAATGTTTGTGTCCGATGTAAATGCTCACCAAAAGGCATTGTCAGGTGGGCAGATAGACCCTGTCTTCAATACTAGTCACTCTGCTCTGCAAATACCCAACATATGAAAGGATCCAGTGAACAAAATTGCAACTATGGAACTAAGAATGCAAGCTATGAGTAGACTCAGCAGTATGGATTTCCTCCCACCAAGTCCCTCCTGTCACCTGCTGTCAATCCGGATTGAGCAGTATACCAATGTCAGTCACCAACCTTAGCCATGAGGGAGTGCAGCTATGATAACACACCTCCAAGAGGTCACCCAGCTACCTGGAGGCAGGTTAATTACACCAGGGCCCTCCTGTTGTAGAGGGCTCTACCATTTGACCTTGTTGGAATAGACCTTTATTCTGGATTTGATTTTGTTCCTGCTTCCTGGCCTGTCAGGCCTCTGCCAGCACCGTCATCTGTCAAGTTCCCGAATACATTATTCACTGTCTCATACAACATTGCTTCTGACCAAAGAATGTACTCCCCAGGCAGAGAAGAAAGGCAGTGAGCTGAGGCCCGTGCAATCTACTCTGATCATGAATCCTATCGCCCAGCAGCATCCGGCTCTGCGGATTGGCGGAATGGCTCACTGATGGCTCAATTACAGCGCCAGCTGGCAGGCAATGCCTTCAAGATTGGGTGCTGTCTTCCAGAGGGCTGGGTGCCAGAGTCCTGGGGACAGTCTGTGACCCCCATAGCTGGGACACATGCATCCAAGGAGAGGGGGCTGAGAAGGGTACTGCTCGTGAACATTCCTAATGACCCACTTATACATGGTCAACTTCCTACACCCATGATTCTTACTCTTGCAGGAGACAGAGTAGAATTGGAAGCTGAGACTAACACCCAGATACGTCCTGCTATTCATTTTGCTGAGAAAAGCATGGATACCGTGTGGGCTGGGATGATTGACTGAATTATTAAGGGGGACTTGGGATCCTAAACACAATAGGGAGCAGGAACTTAGGGGACCCTTGAATAGTCACGCCACTGTGACCTGAAATAAAGGTTAATGGAAGGTGACCACAGCCCTGCCCTGGCAGGCACCAAGGGCTCAGAGCCCTCAGGGTGAGGATTTGGGTCTTGTCACCTGCCTCAGAGCTCCTCCCTTCAGCTACATGCTAGGGAGAAGGCAAGGGTAAAGTTGAATGGGTAGTGGAAGAGGGAAGTCACCAATACCAGGTATGGCTTCACAGGCAGTTCCGGCATTCATTCATTCATTCATTCATTCATTCATTCATTCAACAGATATTTACTGAGCATCTCCTATGTGCCAAGCACTGTCTGGCCACAAGGGACATAGCGATAAATAAAACACATACAATTCCCTTTCTTTGTGGACTTTGTATTTTCGTGAAGGGAGCAGATAATAAGCCACACAAATGAATGAAATATATACTATGCTAGAAGGTAATAACGGGTACAGGGGAAAGTGAGGGCAGGGCAGGGGGACCGGGTGTAGGAGAAGGTGTGTGACATTAAACCATGTGGCCAGGGCAGGCCTCCCTGAGAGGCGACATTTGAATAAGGCTGTGGACCACATGGTGAGCAGAACATGTGAGTGTCCCCAAGGAGGGGCAGCCAGCACACACGTCCTGCGGTGGGGACATGCCAGGCGCATTTGGGGAATAGCACAGAGGCCCGGTGGGCTGGTGCAGCGTGAGCGAGGTGGATGGAATTGGGGACACGAGGTCAGAGAGTCATGGGCACCAGTCCAGGGAGACTCTGCATTCATGGTGAGGAGTTCAGTCTCCACCAGTGGGTGCCGGGAAGGTATCGGGGGTCCGGGCAGGATGGTGCATATTGATCTGATGGCCTTTCAGCGGGCTGGCTCTGGCTGCTGTGTTAAGAGGCCATAGGGCAGGGGGAGGGGCAGCAGGCAAGTCAGGGACCCCAGCAGAGCCAAAGTGAGGGCATCAGCAGAGCGGCCGGGTCCTGGATGGATTTTGCAAGTAAAACCAGTGAGACTCGCTGCAAGATTTGACATGCCATGAGAAAAAGAGGGGGCCAAGGATGTCCCCAAGGTTTCTGGCCTAAGCCACCAGCAGTGGGGAAGACTGCATGGGCTTCAGGGAAAGCCACACACAGGGAGAGAACACAGAGATCCAGGAGTATGAATAAGGTGTGTGGCCTATGTCAGATATGCATTTTGTATTTTAATGAATTCCCCTCTTTCCTCTTCTTTTTGCCTCGCATTGTATACAGGCTGGATGGGTGGTAGTGAAAATGACAGTTTATTTCATAAACTGCAGACTATCCAGACGGGCTCGTGCAAAAGCAGAGGTGAAAGAATGCATCAGGCAGAGTTTCTGGATGTGGAGCTGGAGGCTTGATTAATAGGAATGTGATGTGCTTCTTTTGTTAAACAGCTGGGGGTATTTTCATTTGTACCTGGACTATTGAATTACATTAAGTGGAGGAATTGGGGAAAAAGAAAAAAAAGAAGAAAAAGGGGGCCGGGAAGGAACCAATAAAAGGGAAAACTCCTGGCCTCCCAAGAGGCAATCCCTCCGGGGAAGCAGCTTTTCTAAGTGAGGAACCTCAGATTTCTCCTCTGCATAATGAGGATGACGACAGTGCCTCGCACCACATCCCGGAACCGCAACTTCCAGCTTTCAACCGGCCCCTCTACCTGCCTCTTGGAAATGGGGGTTGTGATGCTCGGGAGAGACTGAATCTGCAGCCCACTCGACCACGGCCAAGGCACGGAGCATTCGCCCGGCTTCCCATTCGCCCTGGATGGGATGTATCCTTCACCTCTCCCAAGGAACAGAGCTCTCAGCCCCGAACATGGTCTAGTTGACCATGGTCTTATCCTTTTGTCCTGGTTCCCATCCAACATTTCCATCCAACCAACACAGGATAAAACCCTGGTCCTGCTATCCTCTGTTGGAATTTGCTGTCTTGGAAGGGTCCCAAAGGGTCAGGGTTGAGTGGAGATGCAGAGACAAAAGCATATGCCAGGAAAGAGTTAGGCTGGGCAGACAGATTTCCTGATCCTAGAAAAATCCTGATCTATCA